TTCAGGCTAGGGCTGAAGTGTCACCAATATGCAGATGATACCTCACTACCTTCTGCTTCTTTCAAGGAGGGGAGTAGAAAATTTGAACTGGTATCTGGAGGTGGTTTTGTGGTGAATGAGAATTAAAAAAGCAAAACTTAACCCAGGCAGAGCTAAGATGTTGTGGTCAGTAGTGTCACATGTTCTTGATGGGAGTTTTACATTTGGTCCCAAATGGTGTTGCATTATTCCTGGAAGACCATGTAGATCATCTGGAAATTCTCTTGGGCTCTGGATTGGGGAACCTCATGTCACAAGAGAAGCCAGGAGTGTTAGGGTGGGAGCAAGTCAGCTTAGGCTGATCACCAGCCTCAGCCCTACCTGGAGAATTTTTACTTTGCCTCTAATGAGTCAGTGTGGTGTAGTGGTTGGACTGTTGGATGGGAGCCCCAGGCTGTAGTCCCCACTCAACTATGGAGCTCAGTGGGTGACCTTGGGCAGGTTAGACTCACAGGCTGTTGTTGTGAGAATAAAATGGATAGGAAGATAGATCATATAAGCCATCCTGCTTGGAAGGAAGAGCAGACAAGACAGACAGACAATGTGCTAGTGAATAGCATCAAACCACTTTCAGACCAAGGACTGAATTCAATTTCAGAGGAATGCTCTCAGAGATCACATTCCAAGATGGATGAAGATGACAGAATAAAGGATGGGACCAAAATACCAAAACCCCCAGCATATTTAATGTTAAAGTACTTCCTGCCACTAATTAAGTCTTAGGAAACACATTTCAACATGTTACAATGGGGGAAAGTAACTTAAAAGACACTTAAATGATCAGCAATTAGGGGAAAGGAAATGAGGCCCACTGGAGAACCCTGGAGGACTGGACTGGAAGTTTCTGGATTGTCTTAAAGGCAGTCTCATACAGAAAGCATTACAATGGTCTGGATATCACTGGAGCAGGGGTGATTTTAGTTTACCTGAGATACCAGCCCAGACCTCCAGGGTTTCCCAGTGGGAAGGCTGTCCTTTCCCTTAATAGCTGGTCATTTGGCAGTTTTCTGGCTTTTAAGTAGCTTCCCCCCACCCCACTTTCCAAAGGTTTGGCAATACTAATTAGAGGGGGGGCTGGTACCACTTTTTTCCCATAATGCATCTGAACATGCAGCTGCCATTTATGTAGTTAATAAACAGTCAATAAAATTTAATATACATGATGTCCATGAATATCTACATTCTCAATTTTAAAGTCATTTAAAGGCCATTTTCACATCTTTTAGCAGCTTATTTAATATATTCATAGTACACTCTGTTAACCTGAACTTCCTTTTGTTGTGCTTACATCTATAATCAATTTAATTGGATTACCTCAATTTGAGAGGTATTATGGGAAAGGGTGAAGTTTTTATCTGGTTTTACTGTGCCATACATAATTTTTTAATCTTTGGTGATCTCTGATCAAACAGCAATATTCAATGGGACACAGGGTTTTCAGAGCCCTAACTTAGATGTCAGAGCTAGAACTCCATGCTCAGAGCCCCTGCAGAACCAACTGCGCCAGCTTCTTCTGAGGTCATGAAGAGCACATTGACAAACTACTTCCACACTCCTCCTGCCATGCATAGGAGGCTTATAATCCTACAAGTTCAGAGAGTTGTCCTCATCCCTTTAGCTTTTCCATATATGGAAGTATTTCAAACTTTCAACCAATCATTTTACACAGCTTTAAAAGCAAAAGTAAATAATTAAATTCATAGAGGATAATGCTATCAATCACAAGTAATCAAAGTGGCTATATACTAGCCCCAAGTTTACTGCTATCACTGTGTGTTAGGTGGAAATACTTAGAAGTAATCTGATTGCCCAAAAAAGATACAATACCATACCATCTAATTCTAGTCTGCTATCACAAGAGACAAACAGGACCTAAAAGAGAATGTCAACAACATAAAAGGCTGCCTGGGGAGGCAATAATTGAAGGTTTCCAATAAAAAACTTGACAGGTATTTGCTGGAGATGCTTGGGATATAAACTTTGTATTCAAAGGGCAAGAATGCAAACTAGATGCCATACTAGGTATCTTTCAACTTTAGAATTCCACAACAGGTAAATCTACCCATGACTTTACGACTGAATACAATACAAATTACAAGAAAGAAACAGATATATTTGACACTCTTAACCTGTGTAAAGCATATCTTTTCTATTGTGTTATATGTACCTATTTTAAATTATTTGAGATTTAAAGCCCAGTATTACTCCCATTATTATTTTCCAATTTATGCATTACTTCTCAGGACAACCCTTTATGTGCAAAATGCACATATATAACTACAAGATCAGAACAGCCAGACCTGAATTGTAATCTATCTATAAGAAAGACTTAGTCAGACAATATTATGTTTTAACAATCTACTTTGGGTAAAAAGGAATTCTCCATAGTTTCCTAGCCATAATTAAATTTAAGTTCAACTAAGTCTAGTAGGTTTTAGAATTGAGAATAGATTTTCAATATTGTTTATTTTAAATATTCAGAAAAAATGATTGTTTTATTATTTCTCTGACAAGTAAATCCTAATTTTGTTACATACGCTACTTGCGTTCTAGCCCACAACATCAAGATGACTTGCATTAATCCTGTTACTAGCCCCCATAAATCATTACTAGGAGAGCAAATTATTCATCTCTGCTGTGCTTGCCTACAACCATTTTTCCTTATTTTTACCACAATGAAGATTCACTAGTTTCATTACCTTTTTAATCTGTAAATACAGAATTACAGAGCTATATTATCTGCTATAGACCTGTGCTGTGTTAAAACAAAGGGTAGTATTATGACAGCATGCATGGTCTTCAAACATAATATTGCAGGAAAGGTGTTCCTCTGTTCCTTTATCTGTTTCACCACTGCATGCCAGCTGTCTAGCTAAATATGAGGAAAAAGTGCTCAAAAATAACAAGTGTACTGAAATTGCAGAGAACCATAGAATATGGTTCTCAAGCCACAGATTTGTGGCATACTGAAACAGATTACCCCTTTCTGGATAGAAATCTGAAAGAGTGCTCACACTGCTGTACTCTGAACTCTCAGCTAGTGGGGGGGTGGGGGGCAGCACAACTTCTTTCGATTTCCTGCCACAAAACAATACATACAGATGCAGCAGCCATTCTGACATTTAACCGAACATTGTGACTACTTAAGCTGCACTCAGGTCGTCCCACTATTACTGAATATGAGTTCTTAGAACTGTTTTACTAACTACAAAGAGCTAGAAAATTGCCTATTATCCTGTTAGAAAGCTTACTCAAACCAGGGGCCCTTTTCTAAAATAGGCAAATATTAAAGGGGTAATAGTTATGCAATATTTTGAAAGTAAATATTCATCTATTTTAATACATATGCACCCCTTAAAATTACATGTCTGGAAAATGCCCCAAGACAAATTCTACTAGTGTGAAGATATTTGAATTGCTTCTGCAGAACCAAGTAACATCACTGGATTACAACACCTATAATTGCTTTGATATATTAACATTGTTCCTAGTCAAGCACCCAACTGACTAACTGAACCTGCTACTCTTGTACAGTTTCTCTGAATTTCTAGACAACATAAGGAGCCTGAAAATGTTCTATCTGCTTCTACAGTATGACTGCATTTCTACATATATCTTTCTCCCATTCTATCTTTAAAGAACTAACATCTCCTTAGGGTTCAAAAAAATTGAACCAGGGTTGTATAAAGATTGAATTTAAATAGTAGCAATTCTAAGGATGCTGTCATGTGTGCTCTTGTAGCTGTATATAGCTTTAAGGTAGTTTGGTAGGAGGATATAGTGGTTGGCTAACCCAATATGCAAGCAGTTACAGTGGCTAAATTTTATAGCACTTTCTGTTCAAAATCTGCTTTGCATTTGGGTCCAAGAAAATTTCTATTTGCAAGGTGTGATCTACAGGATTAGCTGCAGCAGAAAGCACATTAAACTTTATATCTTAGGCAACCAAATACAGTTTTCAAAAGCAAAGCTAACACTGCACTAAAAAAGCCTAAGAGTACAGTTTCAAGAATAAGCACAAAGCACTTCAACTTGAACTTTTTCTGAAAATCAGTTGAAAGAATACAGTCAATGTCCCTTTCTATAAGGCAAATTTCTGAGAAATTAGCCAGAAATTTACACTACTGTAAACTTTACATCAACTGCCTTCCCTTCCTGTTCACTACACCCAACAAGGGGTGGGGAGAATAAGTTTCACAGGATTCCTATTCACCCTTCCCCAATCTCTCCAGTGATTGCAAGGCTGCATATATTACCTAAACTTTTCAGTATTTGATGCTTTGATCATCACTAGATACTGTCTATATGGACAGAATATCACAGAGATAGTTAGGAGTTGCACTAATAACCTTCGTTGGATAGATCGGATATTGGGCAGGAAATAAAATAAAAAATACCCCTCAAGATATTGGATCTTTATTTCGTTAGAAGGCGATGTACTTCCTCCTGCCTCCCGTCTCAGAGAAGCGCGCACACGCAATGTACAGGCCCACCCCGCCTACAAGAGAAGTGTGAAGCGGGTGGGCGGGGGAGTGCGCGCGCGCGCACTCACACACACACACAAACTTCCATTCCCTTTCTCTTGCTCTCTCCCTGCGCCTATGGAGCTGACCTTAAGTAGCCCGACAAGGCCTTCTAAACAAGCCAGGCCCGGCCTCCGCTCAGGCTTGAAAGGAAACTCGCTGCTTCCCAGAGCGGGAGATACACAGAGGGAGTGAGCCCCTGAGGTCCCGGGTCAGCCGACACAGCAACAGCGCCGACCCCCACACGCCGGCCCAGGAGAGCCCGCCTCCCACAAAAAGGCCTTAGTGCTTCTTCCCTGGCAGCCTACGATCTCCTCCCTTAGAGTTCCAGAGTTAGGAGCGGTGTCAGCAGCCATCCCACAACCAACCAACCAACTAAATAAACCGGGCCTGGCATGGCTTGGCTGCCCGTACTCCCTTGCCAGGCTCCATTCCCACCTCCTGGTTGAAGGCGTTCACAGCCTCCATGTTGTCGTTAGGCGGCCTGTGCGAACACACGCGCACGAAGGAGCCGGCAGCAGGTCACGGGACGTCGTTTTCGACCGCGTCCCGCCTTCACGGCCTCGGCGTTAACATGTCCGTTTGGCGGCAGCCCGCAGCGTCTCGTTGGCGAAGCCTCCGCGCAGACTGTCTCTCCCCAACGGGACGGTGAAGCCCACGCCGCGCACAGCACCCTGGGATAGCGCAGGCCTCCCGGCTTCGCACCACCCATTGGAGGAAGGGGTGGAGGCGTAAAAAAACCATAGACTACAAACGAGCGGACGCACTTACTCCAAAAGAACCACGTGACACAGAGGTCGGCCCACTCAGCTTTTCCTCGGCTATTTCCGGAGACTACTCGTATAATCCCCCCGCCCTTGTTTCGAGGCAAGGAGCTTTACTGTTAAAGGCGTGATCGTGTATGTTTGCCGGGGGAGGGGCGGGGGAGGGGAGAGGATAAAGTCCTACAACTCCTCCGCTTAGCTGGATCAGTAATGATGAGAATTGTAGCACTTTTCCCCTGGCTAAATAGGTGTAAGATCGCACGCTGAAGAAACGTGATTTTCACTCAGCCGCTATATACTGTGAGTTTCAATCAATTAAATCACTACTGAGTAGGGGCGCTTTTAAAAAGTACACTGGTTTCCCATGTATTCTTACAACCCTACCCTGGGTTAAGTTTCGGAATGATTGCTGTAGTCTATGTGCACTTATCTGAGAGTAAACTTACTTGAACTCGATAGGACTTGCAAGTACCTATGCATAGAAAGGCAATGGAGGGACTGTTAAAGGCAGTAAAGCTGGGGAGCCTCCCCCTTCCAGCCCTACCAATTTATTTTATGTATTTACTTTTACATTTGTAGCATGTTTTCCCCGCTTGCACGGAACTCAAGGCAGCTCAAGCAGTCGTCTTTCATTTTATCCTCAAAACAACCCTGTTGGTTAGGCTGAAAGTCAGTGGCTGGCTCAAAACAATCTGAGCTTCATAGCTAAGCAGAGACTAAATCCAAGTTCCGGTGCCACCCTGACCACTACATCGCACCAGCCTTCTTACAGATGAGGTGGTTTCAGTTGAGGTTTTCATTTTGCAAACACTCAGCTTCCGTCACAGAATTTTTCAGCAGGTGCAGACAACAACTTTTTCGATACATATCTCCTGTTTTCCCATAGCTGCTGCTGTGTTTTTCTCATCAGAAAGGCTGCTTCCAAACTGAGAGGTCATAGTGTTAGCAGCCAAAAGTGATAAGAGCTCTCCATCTAGAAGCATCATACATGAGATCCAACTTGTTGAAGTAGCTTCTGCCGATCTAGCTGGTTGAGTTTGGCCATGAGTGGTCATAGATGGGGACATGCAGCTCTACCTTGGGTCACTAGTTATTGCTTCTAACTAGCTGCATGTAATTATCATCATTACTATTATCACATTACATTTATTTCCCATTTTAATTCATTGAACTTGAATGATGGTCATAATCATTTTAGGGTATAATCCTATGTGCATTTAGATAGAAAAGCTCCTTTTTTTCCTGTGCATAGGACTGTTCCTTTAGACACTTTGCATTCAAAAGGTATCATACCTTGATCCTAGAGACAGAGACTTATTTCTGTAATATCTGTTGGGATTAAAGGTAATTCAGAGAGAGGGCTCCTAGCTCTTCATAACTTCCTCCTAAATAGATATATTAAGGGGTGGGGGGAGAGATGGAACTAGTGGGAAAATACACAAGGGTTTTAACTAGAATGTGTTTTTGTCTGGACCTCCTGTAAAATTCAGTGAATGAGGAGGCAGGGTGACTCTGTGATAAAAGCCTCATCTGGAAGCCCCCTGCTTGCAGTGCAGTGTGAATTATAGTAATGGCAATGTGTTTGGCAGTGGCACAGAGTTATGGTGGCAATAACTGCAGTCAACATGGTGGTAATAAAAATAAATACTGCAATGACAGGCTTGTATTTTCAGAAACCTATTGCAGAAAAAAATCCTCTTTATCACTTTATATCACCCAGAAGAGCCAATGTTAGTAGAAATACTTGATATCTGTATGTATAACGTAAAAGTAGAGACATATAATTCTTAGCAGATTGTATTTCAGAGGTCTCTCTGCCAGCATGTACTTCCCCAGGTACCTATAACAATGCTCACAAATCATGTTTTTGAGGCATTTCATTCTAACTCTTCTAAATGTGCAAACTGTTTTATAATCCTATCACAATTTCTTACTCTACGTTTGTGCAATGCTTGCTATAATGCCCCCTTCTCACTTGCAAATATATAATATATGAATGTTTTGTGTCCCATATAACTGGTATGTGTAGTTATTCTAACTATATTCTCATCTGGTTATTTTGATTTATCCTGCTTGTTGCCTCAGTCCTTGTCTATATATCTGCCTTCAAAATAAGCTGGTCTAGTAAGCTGGCCCAATTCAAGGTGTTGATTATGACCTATCAAGCCCTAAACGGCTTGGGTCCTGGCTACCTGAACGAGCGCTTACGTCCGTATATGCCCGACCGCCCTTTGAGATCTGCGGGAGAGTCCCTTCTCCGGGAACCCTCCATGAAAGAAATTAGGAGAGTAAGTACCCGGAGGAGGGCTTTCTCTGCGGTGGCGCCCAACCTATGGAATTCACTCCCCAAAGAGGTCCGCCTGGCACCGTCGTTACTGGTTTTTCGGCGCCAGTTAAGACCTTTTTATTTAAACATCATTTCAATTGTTAAAACATATGATCTGGCCAGGGCAACTTCTTCTTCCTTCTCTTTCTCCTCCTATATTTTTATTTTATACTGATAATTTTAATTTTATATTTGTAAATCAATGTATTTTTTGTATTTTTGTATGTAATGGTAATTTATTATGTACTATTGTATTTCAATGTATTTTATCATGTTGTAAGCCGCCCCGAGGTTTCGGCAAGGGGCGGCATAGAAATGTTATAATAATAATAATAGTAATAATAATAGTATAGTTTTGCAGCCACAAATAGTTGGTATTGCCAAAAGCATTTTATTTACGCTGGAGACTGAAGGATGAGAAAATGAGTCAGTCTTTTCTGGATTTGCTAATTCCTGGAGGGCACAAATCTATCCCTTCCTCCCTTTATTTATTTATTAGATTTGTTTAAAAACCTCCTGTTAGCATCATGGCAGGTGCCTATAAGCCTGCCTTACAAGCATCCCATCCAATCCATATACAGATGACACTCAGCTCTACCTCTCTTTTTCATCAAGCCCAGGTGAGGCAGCAGCCATTCTGAATCAGTGTCCGGGTTTGGTAATAGACTGGATGAGGGCCAACAAACTGAGACTCAATCAAGACAAGATGGAGGTGCTGTTGGTGGGTGGGTTGTCTGTCCAGCTGGGTGTTATTTGGCTTGTTCTGGACAGGGCTGCACTTCCCCCTAAAGGCAAGATTCATAGTTTGGGGGTTGCTCCTGGATCCAGAACTGCTGCTTGAGTGAACTCAGTGGCACCTTTTGTCAGCTTAAGCTGAAAAATCAATTGCGACCCTATCTGGACAGACAGAGTCTTGCTACAGCAGTCCATACTCTGGTATGCTCTTGTTTGGATTACTGTAATGTGCTGTACATGGGGCTGCCTTTGAAAACCATCCAGAGACTTCAACTGGTCCAAAACAGAGCAGCATGATTATCAATAGGGACTGGTTTATGAGAAAATATTACACCAGTCCTCTTACAGCCACATTGGGTGCCAGCTGAACTCTGGACCCTCTTCCAAGTGCTAGAATTAATGTTCAAAGCCCTAAACAGCTTGGGGCCACGCTATCTGAAGGAACACCTTGCCTCATATGTGCGTACCAGGTCCATATGGTCTTCCTCAGGCGCTCTTCTCTGGGAGCCCCCTCCAAACGAAGTAAGCAGGATGGCCACCAGGAGAAGGGCCTTCTTGGTTGTGGCACCCCAGCTTCTTTTTTTTAGCACTAGGTGAAAACCTTTTTATTCTTCCAGTATTTTAACAACAAAATAGTTTCAGTTTTCATTTCTATTTTATATGCTATCATGCTCTGCTGCTGTACCTCTGTGCCGATTTGGTTGCAACTACTGTGGTCTTATTGTTTTATGTCCATTTTGTTGTGTATTTTTAACTTCGTTAGCCACCCGGAGGTCTTTGGCTATTGGGTGGTATAAAAATTAAATAACACACAAGGCATGGCAGTGACAGTGGTTTCTGCCCTGTCACACCTGCATTTTATCTAGACTCCTGTTTTTGGCTGTCTAGATTAAGGGCCAGAGAGGGAAAGAAGTTGAGCACCGAGAAGAATCAGCACAAATCCACAGCTCCAGCCTCCTTCCTCTCCTGCCCCCTTTGAACAGCCCTTCTTCCCTGTCTGAGGTCCACCACGGTTCTTTCCACACTCTGGCTGTGAGTGGCCAGGACATGGACTCAGCCTTGCAGTCCAAGCACTGAGGTTAGAGACCCTCAAAAATCTGTGGACTCTCATATGAAGTTCATAGGCCAAAGGATTGCACCCTACAGCCATTAAGATCACTGGAGGAATGTAGTACCCCAGTAGCAGACCCTCTTGGTAGCAGCACCCACCCTGTTAAAAATACAACAACAACAACTCCCTGTGCAGGCCAGAAGGTAGACATGCAGGATGTTTAAAACATTCACCCTGGCTTTCCCTGACCCATAATCAAATTAATCATGCTGTTCCATTTTACTGCTCCTGTACTGCTTCACATTATGTTTGATAGTGCTTGTCATTATTAATATTGTAACTGTATTTTTAGATTGTATTTTAAATTTGATTTTAATATTTAAAATCAAATATTTTTAAAATTTTAATAATAAATAATTTTAATAAATAAGATTAAATAAGTTACAAATATTTAACTTGGGGGGGTTCTTGATATTTAACAGTATTAAAATAGTGCAAGTAAAAATAAATGGCTGCCTGAGACATACTGGCTTTCTCTGCCTAAAGTCCATTGGGTTGCACAGGAGAATCAAAAAAGAATCTAAGGGACCAAGTAGATAGATGCTTCCTGGGCTTGTTCCAGGATGAAATGATGTGGATAACCCCATTAAAGTGGGGGGTTATCATGTGCTTGCACTGATAACACTAATATAAAACAATAATTACATGGCTTGGGACTGCAAGACTTGACAAAGCATGTCTCCCAACTGCGATCAACCTGGAGATCATCAATATCCAGGGCCTTCCTC